TTGTTTGTTCCATTGTTCAGTATTCTATTAATATCAGTCACGACTGTGCTAATAGTTTCTATTAAGCGACGATTATTAGTAGTTGTCGTGAACATGTTATCATTTTGTACAAGTTATTACTTGTAAAACATTTTGTTCAAGTTATTACTAAGTTATTACTTGTACAATTAACTATTAGTACAATTTGTATTGAGAAAAAGATAGTAACTTGTACAAATCATTATTCTACCTAGGCCTATTTGATGTTAACAACAAATAGTTTCCCTTTAAACAAATAATTCATTACAAAGCCTAAAGGTATACACTTTTCACATGTGAGTACCTTTTATTTTAAACATATGTGACCCCTTCCAAAAGAGTTACTTGACACTATAGAAACTGAAGAAGATTTAATTTCATTGACAACAGCTACTAATGACAACTTGTCAGAACAAACATTGAGACCGAAACCGACGATGAAACTGACACACACGCTGAAACGGAAACCGATCTGGACACAAACACTGATACCGAAACCGATGTGGTGACAAACAATGATACCGAAACCGATGTGGTGACAAACAATGATACCGAAACCGATGTGGTGACAAACAATGATACCGAAACAAATATGGACTCAAACACGGAAACCAATGTTGCAAATGGTACAAGTATTGAAACTGGCACACACGCTGAAACGGAAATCGATCTGCACACAAATACTGATACCGACACCGATGTAGAGACACACACTGATACCGAAACCAATATGGACACAAACACGGAAACCAATGTTGCAAATGGTACAAGTATTGACACTGGTTTTGTTACAGACACGAACTTAAAAATAATACTTTCAGGACAACGAGCGCTGTTTGGCCAACACATACAGGCCGATTAGATTTTGTCTTCTTTCAAAAGAAGATTAAAATAGTTAGAAATTGGAGACAATGTTACAATACCAGTGCAAAGAGTAGACCGAGGTCCGATGGACTGTAGAAATATCAAAGGTGTTGTGCTGATTTTTACAGAAAATGGATACAAAATAGGAACAAAAGTTTGAATGATGATTGGTTTAATGAGTCGAAATCAAATAGAAAAGATTCAGAGAAAGGATTTGACAATAATATTGGACATACTTGAAAACACTGAGGTTAATGTCAGAAAAGCAGTACACTTGCTTTCTTTTAAGTGGTAAGCGAGGCCATGTTCACTGCAGCTGTCGGGGTGTAGGCTGTAAGACATGCAAATGTAAATGCAAATGATTGAACTTATTGTGTTGTTCAAGATGTCATTAAACCAGGTCTTGTGCAAACAAATAGTTTATTTGATCTTTTATGCTTGACCTTTCCTTGAGTTTCCAATAAATGATAGCATATATGCAACTTTATGTCATGATTTATGTTCGTCTGTAACCTTCTAACATTTTAAAATCAATAATAAAAGAAATAAATAGCCCGACAAATGACCAGAAAAAAAAACAACAAAATAAAATACACAAAGAAAGGAGTTTTTTAATAAAACATTAAAAAATACAGAAGTTAGAAACAAATATAACTCAAATATATTAGATCAATTATTTTTTGTACAAGTAATAACTTGTACGGTGGCATCGTACAAGTAATTACTGGTACATAAGTTTTGTACAAGTAATGGTTTGTACAAAATAATAACATGTACACGACATATGCCAGAAATTGGAGTACGGTTACTTGGCGACAAAAACGTGATGAAAATAAATAGTACGATGCTTTTGTTTCATATAATCATAAAGACGAAGGAAGCGTCATGAATAAACTTATACCAAGATTAGAAACAAACGGAGTTTTGTTCACATTTTCCTGATTTACCAGTTGATGTATGTATAACAGAAACAATGAGTAAATCGGTTAAAAAGAGCTAGAGAACAATCATTAGATATAGGAAGATGTGGTATGAGTGCCAATGAGACAACTCTCCATCCAAGTAACAATTTATAAAAGTAAACCATTATAGGTCAAGGTACGGCCTTTAACACGGAGCATTGGCTCACATCGAACAGCAAGCTATAAAGGGCCCCAAAAATTACTAGTTTAAAACCATTCAAACGGGAAAACCAACGGTCTAATCTATATAAAAACGAGAAACAAGAAACATGTATGAACTACATAAACAGACGACAACTACTGTACATCAGATTCCTGACTTAGGACAGGTGCAAACATTTGCAGCGGGATTAAACGTTTTAATGGTACCAAACCTTCTCCCTTTTTCTGAAACAATAGTATAACATCACAACATAGAAAGACACACTGTAAAATATCAATTGGAAGGCTAAACTCAATCAAAAAACGTAAATTAACACACAATGAACAAATAACTGTGATCTGTGATACTTGAATGCAAATACATAGTTAATAAAAATTATAAGGGATTTTATAAATAACTTAGGTCAAAACTAAATACAAAGTTAAAGTATGATACCACTGTGAAATGTTAAACAATATTTAGAAAATCATCATGTTTATTTCAAACAATTTCTTAGACATTAAATGGTGTCGATACAAATTTCAAACAGCCCATCACAATATTTTCAGAGACATATTCGAAAATAATTCTTATACCTTTGGAAACTGTTGACCAATCAAGACTTGACCCGGAGCTAAAGTTGTACATGAACACAATGACTTATGTTAAGCGATTAGATCCATGGTTTTTGGAGGAAATTGTATTTACATCACCACATGTACCAGAGAGAGAGAGAGAGAGAGAGAGAGAGAGAGAGAGAGAGAGAGAGAGAGAGAATAAATAATACAGCACCAAAAAGCCTGAACAAAACGAATCTTACACGTGCATGTTAAGTTGATTATTATGATATCTAACTTAGACCAAGTTGTTATGTTGAATTCAAACGAAGATTGCCATGCATTTATTACACTCCGATTATTTTATATTTTATTGTTCTGTAAGTTTAGTTTGAAATCATGTTCTATCAACGTATACATTTGTTTTAATTTCCAGCATATTCTAATTACCAATTAATTCTCTTTAGTAATATCTATTTAGATCAATTGTGTATTAAAAAAAACCTCATCAAACATACCTAGCTTATAATTTTGTACTAAATACAGAGGCGATTAACAATCAAACACCGTAACCGGAGAGGAAAACATTAGCAATATTCAAGACATTTTTCAATTAAAACTAATGGGACAATGTGTTCCGGAATATATATACCCTCAGGTATATGAAGACGTGTTTATCATATCTAAAAATGCAAAAAAACAACTTAAAAAAACATGAACAAATGGATTTCCTTTATCAGTTTACGATGCTATAAATTTTAAAGCTTTAGGGTCATAGTACCAGAACAATTAAACGTAGAATTGCCGGTGAGGATTTCTCTTTACATATCTACAAATGATTTTTTTTATGAACAATTTATCGGTATAGTCACCGCATATATCTACTTGTGGTATATATATATGTTACATGTGTAAGTGGTTTGTTTAAGCATTTAAGCGAATCTTTAATGAATGAAATATGAAGACTGTAACTCCTACTTATAAGATTTTGTATCTATAAGTAGGGTGCGTCAGAATTAAACAATGCTGATACTGTACAAAAGCGCATTCACAATTAAGTTTCAAATAGGATTATAATATATATGAAAAAACAAAACAAAAAAATACAAAAGCACAGTTATTTGAATCGTAACAGGTTTTTTGACTTACATGCGGTCTTAAAAAATTAGCAAACCCCATACCGTAAAGTAAATTGCAAAAAGACCCGGGATTAAAAATATCTGATGCAGCTGACGATCTTTGATGAGTTAATTAGTAATATCCCTTCCATTCGACTTTGGCTGATCGAGGTTTAACTGTATATGTGGTGAAATAACACCATGGAGTGGTAATGGTGAGATAGGGGTAGACTGTTTGCAAACCATGTCGAAATTCATAAAATAGAAACCTCGTCTTAACTAAGAGTATTAGTTTTTCAAATGGCGTATTGTGAATAAAATGTGTCTATCAAAAAATTCTTCGTTCTATTCAAGGGTTAGCTGGCAATCTCTGAAAACAATTCACAAATTCATATATTTTATACTAAATGCATATAGTTAAAGCAGATTTGTATAAACAGTTATACTTATGCATATACATCATTTTGTTACAAACTGTGATTCTCATTATGCAATATACCACTGTCTTCCACAGTGACTGCCAAAAAAACTAACATTATTACAGAGATATAGCACCCCCCCTCCCACACATACACACAAACACACAACCAATTTGAGAAAACAACGAACTTGATCATCTGATTCTGCTTGCTGAATATAAATGATGGGTCGAAAAATGAGCATTTAGTTTATAAAAAGAGTCAAAAATCAGAAAAATGTACTACAAACAAGAGTAAATATTTGAATGGAACCGGCAATAAAATGTTCATGTTAGATTATATTTAAACAACTATGAAACATCTGATCTTTTTCTAAATCTTGTATTGTACTCATTGGTACCACTTTTTACCTTTTCTACCACCAATGACATATATTTGGGAAATGATTTCTTTCAATTAAATTATTAGGTACCGAGCATGCATATTTTGTTGGGGAGGGGGCATGTTTTTTTTTCTCTGGACAAATGCTTTTTAATTAGATATAAAATTTGTTTCAATCTCAAATTTGTTTTATTTTTTGTTTGAAGCTTCAACGGAAACAAACTATTTATCACTTTCGTTCTTAAAAAAATATTTGTTTACGAAATGAAGAATCGACAATTAAAAAATAATATACCCTCACAAAAACAAATTTGCGTTGCCTTGATTATGTTTAAAATTTAGGTATATTCCTTCGGTTCAAATAATCTGCAGTACTGTCTACCAGCACTGGTTAGCATCACAACTATTGACCCGTCGTTCATGTACTGGTTATGCATCATACATATCGGCCATTGAACAACAAGAAATATTTGAATTTAACCGCGTATTCCTACTATGGAATTAATATACGTCAGCAATTTTAAAAACAGATGAACTACACAATATTTATGAGTGCAGATGTTTTAATGGTACATCATTTATCGTTGATTAACGATATGCATATTTTAGGATTAGAATAATTGTTACATTGGTACAGCGTAATATTAGTCTTTGATATACAGGTATGTTGATTGCTTGGAAGTCATTTTGCAAAAGTTACGTACATAAAAACGTATGTATTTACCGTGTGTACTTGATTTTATATAGGACATTGTACACAATTATATTTTATCAGTGTACACAGACCTGCATCTGTTATCTTATGCCTCGTTTTAAATTAAGAAACAATCGATGCTATTATTTACTTAACGGTCTAAATAAGTTTTTGATTGTATTTTGACAGTAAGTGCAATGTGTGTGTTGTGTGAAGATAATGTGCGTAACGAGTATTAATCATTTAACAGTGCATTTCCTGTCCTCATTGCCATCCTGTAAACGAGTTTTTGGAAAATCACAATGGAAAATAACTGAATGCATTTTTACAAAATGAAAACAAGTGACAATCAGTAGTTGTTTTTTCAACGGAATCCTTGTCTTTTAACTAATAAAAAGATCAAGCTTGTGGGAAAATATCAGAAAAATGTAATAACCACTTACACATGACTATCTTAAGTGTTTATATTGGTGCCTCTCAAATTAATTGTTTCAGTGATGTTTAAAAGTCTGTGTCTAATTTTTCAATTTTAATTCCGAAATCACTTATATAAGAAGTACCCCTGATTGTACAGTGGCATAAGAGTAGAGTGTAAAGTCGGGGGTGGGGACAAATTTCTGAAAGTGAAAAGGAAAAATTTATTTTTTATTATTTTGCAAAAAAGGGGTAGGTAAAACCTCGCCCGTTGCCCCAAGCTCCTTTGCAAGTAGCATATGATTTCCCGAAAATTACTTGGGCATGGTATTAAAGTGATAGAGACACGTGATCTCTATCAAGAGGTCAATAATCGCCGATGAATTTTCGATCTAAATACTCTTTACCTTCGTATTTGATTTTGGCCTTTTGACTGTTCTTATCGAGCGCCACTGATAAGTCTTATGTAGACGAAACGCGCGAATAGCGTGCCCAATTTATAGGTGAGTTTTTACAACCACTGGGTCAATGTAACTGCTGTTGGGCGTTTCGTTCACGAGGGTACCACCAGCAAAGTAGTCAGCCCTTTTGTGTTGACATGAAATATCATTGATATGTTATATATATATTTGGAGGTTATTAGTCTTAGTTATAGATAGATTTATTTGATTTAGTACAATTCAGTTCATTTTCAAATATATACTAAACATGTGTATGTTACTATATTTGTATATGAGAAAATAACGTAATATATATTTAATATATCTTAATTTTAAAATATGTTTTGAAAATGGCTTGCTACTCAGTTGTTTATATCGTAGGAACGTAATGTGAACAACATAAACATTGTTTTTCTCTTTCAAAACTTTACTATGGTACTGATATAAAGGATATGTGTCATGACAGAGTTTAATGGTGTGTGACCTCGGCCAACATTCTCACAAACCGCAGAATTTTATGTTAAGTTTGAGGGTGAATAAAAGCTTCTGTTCCTAAGGTCACATCGGGTATCCAGATCCGAATCCGCGGTGGTATCCAAATCCCGAGGAGCATTTACACGAGACCATAACACGGTAGGTGAGTAAAACCTGGATGCAGACTTCACTTACAAATTGACCAAAACAAAGTGTAATGGCTCCTCGGCATTCGGATCGCTCCGGGGGTTTCGGATCGGAATGTGTAGCTGTTTGGGTTTTCAATGTATATTTAGTAAGTTTGTTCGCCATATTTTTTTCATACTATATCAGTATTTCATATTGTGCATACATATCATTTTGTATAATTTATGCGATATTCAATATTTATTTGTTTTAGAGTAATGGCGACTAATTGGACTATATGTGGCACATGTGATTTTCGCCATATAACTAAACCATCAGTATTTTGGTGTTCCGAGTGTGACGAAGGCCTATGTCATGAGTGCACTGAACATCACAGCATCTCCAAGGCAACAAGGGAACATAGTACAGTTTCTCTCGATGAATACAACAAATTACCATCAACAATTTTAGAAATAACACAAAGATGCAAAGACCACAATGAAAAAATTCAAATATACTGTAATCAACATGATTGTCCATGTTGTAAAAAGTGCATTGTGGAGACTCACAACGAGTGCAAAGAATTTGTTGATATTGACGATGTTATAAAAGATGTTAAATCATCAACTGCGTTCGTGGATATCGAACACACATTGGCAGAAATTTCCGAAAATATTAAAAGAATTCAAAAAAAGATCGTGAAGAGAATCTGACCGCAATTAAGAAAACAAGAGAAAAAGTCGAGTCTGAAATAAAAATGACAACATTAAAGATTGTGAGCTATCTTGACAAACTCCAAGAAGATATTTTGAGTGAACTGAGGGAAACAGAGGAATCGGAAAGCAAACTTATACAGAAATTGTTAACATCACTACAACAAACGGAAAAGGACGTCACTGAATACCAACATAACATTTCGAAAATAAAACAACATGCATCAGACCTTCAGGCATTCTTGGTCCTTAAACAAATAGAACATGACGTAGAAGAAAAAGATAAATTCATTCAAACATTAGTGAAGAACGAAGAATTAAATCATGCTTCTCTGTCATGGAAGATAAGCTCTGGCGTTCAGAATTTTCAATCAAGTTTAGCAACGTTCGGCAATATTGTTGTCGAGTCCAAATCTAGTGGCATAACTATTGCTAGGAGAAAAGACAAAGAAGCTCAGATAATGGTTATGGCACGGTCGCCTATATTTTTAGACAAAATAGAACTTAAATCAAAGAAAACTGTTTCTACGAAAGGCAATCACATAACTGGATGTTCCCTGTTTTCAAATGGTAAAATGATTTTTTTCGAGTTATGAAGATAAGAAGGTTTATGTTCTTACAACTGAAAGATCAAAACCGTACAAGATTACATTCGAATTTCAAACATTTGATGTAGAACAGATAGACGGAAGTTTATTTGCTATCACCACTGGCTATGAAGGTGGTAGAATCATACTTAGGGACCTACTAGAAAGGAAAACTAAGAAAATCATAGACGTTGATGTATCAAATGATGGAATAACTGTGAGTGGCGATTGGCTGTATTTTAGTGCAAGGAAGAACGGCTTGATGCGAGTAAGCATGATAGATGGATCGATTTGTGAGGTTGTTTATAAGCCAATGTGTGGATGTGCTTATATAGCTATATTCGGCAACTACATTTACTTCAAAAACAAATCGAAGAACACTGTGACGTGCAGCAATCTGGAGGGGAACGTCAAGTGGATATTTGAAGATGAAAGTATTTTGTCTTTTCCGCTGGGTATCTTTGTGGATAAATATGGCAACATTTATGTAGTTGGAAACGAATGTTCAACTGTTGTTGTTATCTCGCCGGATGGAAAACAAAGCAAAGTTATATTATCGTCTGCAGATGGACTTGATTATCCTCAAGTTTTACATTATAACCGAGAAAATAACCAGCTGCTAGTTGCAAACCAAGGTGGACATGCGTTTCTTTTCGATGTAACATTCAAGTGAACTATCATACTTTACATGCTCTCATATCTTAGTGTAATTGTTTTTGTGCAATTATTTTGTCTGTTGCTTTCTATGCTTTTATTCATTTGGAATTTCCAATTCAATGACTATAAACTTTGTCAATTTTAATAAATTTTGTTTTGATTTGGTTCTAATTGTATCATTTGTATGGCACATTTCAATAAATCATTTAATTTTTTGTTGCTACTTTGTAGTTTTCGGTGTGAAATTTGATCACTGTATTGTATACACAAGATGAATTATAAACACTATTTAATTATGTTATATGAATTAGACATTATTATCAAAATAAAAACAAATAAAAAAAACAAAAAACAACTACCGTAGAGGTACTGCAAGCAAGGCTCACACAATAATAATCCCTGTCATTCAAATGGAAAAATGAAAAAGGAGTTGCAGCAATATGCCACAAGAGTAAGTTCTTTGTTAGTTTTATAACATTCTGAAAAGCGGTTCCGGAGCAGTTGCGGATATAGTGGGACAGAAGGACGAAAGAACGTACGGACATTTCGGATTTTCTAGATTGCATGAATTATTTTACCTATCTAGATCTGTTTAGCGGCTAAGCTATGTATAGGTTCAGTAATCAACATCTGCGTACTCCTACTTAGAACATAGGTAACGCCACAACCAAAATCCCCGCTCAGTTATATTGTAAAAGTACGGCTGTCAGCACGTTCGATCTTTTTCATAGAAACTTAGCTATATAATTCAGTGTCTATTATGGTCCTGTATATGCATGAAATATCTGTTCCTCAACATGCTCAAGGTTAACCAAACAGAAGTCATTCAGTTTACTGTTTAAAAAAACTATGAAAATATGAACGATCACGATAATTTCATATCTGTAAGAAACATTTTCGGTTGGCCCAAAGATCATAACCGCTTCAGATCCGATTTTACTATGCAGTTCATCTGTATATCTGGAATAACGCAGTGACCAGACTAAATGATAAAAACGTATATCTGCACGGAATCTATATCTGGAATATATATCGGACCGAAATAAAATTATTTTTACTAATACTTGTATATAATGTTTCTCTACCTACCCTAGTTTCTTTTGGCTTAAAAATGACTACCCTGAAGTTTTTATCGACACTTTTCGTATAAATCTCAAAATTGCATATATTCCGATATGCTTAATATGAAAAAACTATACATACATACCTACCATATATTGTAAAAAGAAACACACATTTACTTTTTCGTTATGACTCACCAGGAACTACATGCCAACGGAGTTAGTTTGATGATGATGGTGATGATGGATGGCTAATAAAACGCATAAATAGGACGAGAAGAAGACATGAACCCGCTGCAATTGTTTGCAACTGTCCTAGGTCAGGAACCTGTTTTCAGTGGTTGTCGTTTGTTGATGTGGTTCATGAGTGTTTCTCGTTTCTCGTTTTTTATATAGATTAGACCGTTGGTTTTCCTGTTTGAATGGTTTTACACTAGTAATTTTTGGGGTCCTTTATATCTTGCTGTTCGGTCTGAGCTTAGGCTCCGTGTTGAAGGCCATGCTTTGACCTATGATGGTTTACTTCTACAAATTGTGACTTGGATGGAGAGTTGTCTCATTGGCACTCATATCATATCTTCTTATATCTATGGCACATCAGCCCGACAAATTATTCCGACTCTTAGCCGAGCAGTCTTCACTCTTACTCCATAATGCCGCGGAGAACCATGAGGGTTTGACCGGGTCGGAGATTAAAACTACAATCTGCCATACTAGATTAGAGGCAAGCACACCGAAGCGGTCGAAGGAGTGAAAAGTAAAACACCTACAACATTTGAGAGCACCAAACTAAAAGGCATAAATTCACGTACTAAAACAGTAAAACATTGGTGGGAATGAGCAACGCCACAGGACTAACGATCAAAACATTGTTGAAATATCGTTAACGAATATCAATATAGTAAGATAAAGCATAGAATGATATCAGACATTATTTTGGTGCCAGTAACGTTAGATGTCACCATAGACATCTTAACATTCTATTTGTAAAACGATAATTTCAATATTTCTATATTAACACTAAAAATGAAATATAAAGTAATACCGAAATAAAAAAAAAAAATTGTTAAAAAAATAAGATTTTTTCTTAGTTGCTATTTAGTTTGTTTAGTTCATTACCAAGTTAAATCAGTTAATTTTCCAATTAAAGAGTCCTTGGGGCATATCAATAACAGACAAGAAAAACAAAAACATATATTTCATTCATTAAACATTGTTTTATGAATTGTATAAAGATGATCAACAATTAGTGAGAGAAGAGCCAACTGGGTGAAAGAAACATAACTCCACACTAAAAAATGTTAGTAAAACCTGTGTGCCAATCTGATAAAACAAAATTCCATTTTATGGAGCATAGTACATGTAGTAAAAAAAAATCATTTTTAAAAAAAAATTGTAGGTTCAATGATCCACAAAGCTTTGACATTAATTTTATACAATAATTAAACTGTTTTTATACTGAAATATAAATATTATTTAATTATACAGGATAATTGATAAATACTTTCATAATAACAAGAGTAAATTTTAGTCATTTACTGGTATCATGAATCCAAATAAATATTGATATTCAATTCACAATTAGGACAACACAATCAATGATGAATTCACTGTTCATAGTCATTGTCATGTCAGTCAATACAAATAATGCCTTAAGTCACTATTCTGATTCACTGCTTGATGAATAAACGATTGACTCATTCATTTCACAATTTAAATGAAAGACATGGATGTGCATTAATGTGAAAAATGCAAATTCACAACGAATTTCAACCCAGTTCATTCATATCGCACTTCAATATTTAAGAGACAGTTAAAAGGGAACAACCTAAAATAGATGTCCTTCAATTTTAGTAAAAATACTTCTCGTGTTTATTTAACGCCTATTTGTTGATGAGATCGATTATCATATATTATAAGAAGCTAGTGGTATATTCAAAAAGTCCCCTGTGCTACAGCTCTAAATAAATCAATAAAATTAGTTACTTTACAATAATTTTTAATACCCGGTGTTTACTGCATTTACTCGTGATATTGGATCTTACTTTCATCAAATGCAGGATAAATAAAAAGAAGACTAAACACGAGGTGAAACTATTTTTGTAAGAACTCAACCTTGCCTTTTTTTCCTCAATTAATTGATTAAAACGATAATACCGTTAGGAAGGCTCGTTGTAACCAAACACAAGCTAACCAACTTAGTTTGCTGATAACTAAATCATGCATTCTTACAAGTACATGTAGGTTTGTACACACACTTTGGTTGGTTATGGATGAAAATAAATGAAATAGTTAAGTTGATTTTAAACTGTAAATAATCGAAGCCATATAATCCTATCACCATACCCTCAGCCCCCCCCCCCCCCAAAAAAAAAAATAAATAGCATCATATTCTAATCATACCTTTAACATTTTCAGTATTCAGGTTGAGATTGCTGAAAGTCACCACAAGCGTTTCAACTGAGGGAATTATTAAAAATAAAAGAAATAGAATCGAAACGGTGTATTGATTTCATGACACAATGCCTTCAACAAAACCCAATGACTTAGTGCTTTTAATCTACATAATATCTATATAATATTTTCTGATATAATGTAATACAAAATATTTTGCGGTTCGTCTATAAGGATAGATATAATGATAAAACTACGATATATTCATGTATAATGGAAGATGAAAATTTTATTTCCATCGGCAACCCAAATATGGTCATTCAAAAGTCCAATGGCCGCCGGTGTGTCAAGACCGTTTTTAGCATCAAATAAAGTGTTCTTGTACTTAAAGTACACGTTATGGTGACGAAAGTCTGATACAAATATATTGCCTGCTTTATTGACGCATATTCCTTCACATTCAAAGTTCTGTTAAGGGTCAACCCCGTATATGCCCTTAAATTCATATAGCTTGTTATATGTTTTAAATGTTGCATCTATCAGATCTATACAACGCAAATTAGAGTAATTGTCAACGCAATATAAAACACACATACCTGATTCTAAATTTTGAATAGAGCATGGTTGATTCCAAGTCTTATTAGTAAAATAATAGGTTCTCGTCATGATGCCGTTAGTGTTCATCCATATAATACAATCATGATAACAACCATACATTTCATAATTATTTTTAGACCAAAGATATATTATTAATGAGTCATCTTCTGTGATGCAAAAACCATTTGGATAATACGAATAAGGTGAATGTTTGGAACCAACACAAGCAAACCTCACAAGTCTTCTATTTGTTAGGAGCTTCATTATAAATAATTGTTCAACACAGAGAATCAAAACACGTCCATCTTTTAAAACAACAATATCATCAACTTTATCTGCGTAAACATCGTCTTTCAAGGAATGATCGACAATTTTGAGTAACTTCCGGTTTGCAATTATCCAAGCATCATCTTCAAAGATAGGAACTATCTTTCTTACAAGCTTTATATCCTGTTTTAGTTGGACATTAATCGGATATTCATCTGTAACTTCATCGGATGAACTTTGTATTAAATCATTCATTGGAATGTCTTCGGCATCGAACCATTCAGTATTCGAATCTTCAGAAAAATCTGTTTGAATCGATATGTCAGAACATGATGGGAACGAAGATGCATCACCTTTAAGATTCCGATCTGACAGAATTATATTTCCAATTGAAAACTCCATAGTTGGTTTAAAACCCGGTTTTGGATGATTTATAATTTTGTCACACGCTGAGGAAGATAACTTCATTTCAGACATAGTATTCATAATATTGTAAAGGTTATACTCGTGAAGCTTATTGACGTCTAAATTAGCGATTCAGTTTGTAAATTATTTACGTTTGTTTTTTGTTCTTGTAGAGATATTTGATAGCTTTCGAATGCATTACGTAACATAGACAAAAGACGGTTCTCTGAGAGATCAATGTTTTGCTTTATTTTGTCAACACTAGATCTTATTTCACGTTTAAGACTTTTTTTTAGTTTTTATTTCATGTTTGTAACTTTCCTCGTCTTGTATAAGCTCTTTCTCTTTATCCGACACCTTGTCACGAAATGAATTAAGTTGTTCAGCATATTTGTTCTCTAACAACAAGGCACACATTTCTGTCCGAATATCTTCATCGGCATCTCGCAATTGACTTAGTTCGTGTTTTTGGTGTAACTGTCCGATGCATTTAAAACACATGAAGTCCTTACAATCTTTGCAGAAGATCTGGTACTCTTCTGTTTCATGGAATCTACACCGAAGTGGTTTCGGAGATCTACCAACCTTTTGTTTTTCCACACGTTCTAACGTATCATCCGCCATTACGGGAAGTGTAATTTAATATATAGATATAAGAAGATGTGGTATGAGTGCCAATGAGACAACTCTCCATCCAAGTCAAAATTTATAAAAGTAAACCATTATACCAGTACGGTCTTCAATACGGAGCCCTGGCTCACACCGAACAGTAAGCTATAAAGGGCCCCAAAAATTACTAGTGTAAAACCATTCAAACGGGAAAACCAACGGTCTAATCTATATAAAAAACGAGAAACGAGAAACACTTATGAACCACCTCAACAAACGACAACTACTGAACATCAGATTCCGGACTTAGGACAGGTGCAAACAAATGCAGCGGGTTTAAACGTTTTAATGGTACCAAACCTTCACCCTTTTTCTGGAACAATAGTGTAACATTACAACATAGAAAGACACATTATAAAATATCAACTGAAATAGCTTAACTCAATCAAGGGACATATTAACACCAGTGAACATACACTGAACAAATAAATGTGACCTATGATACAATGTAAATACAAAATAAATAAACTAAGGGAAGAATAATAAAAGTAATATGCATACATGTCAATAGAAATACACTAGATTACAGTATGAAAATATGTCATTATTGATTTTTATTGATTCAAATGTTTTAAACGAACTACAATGAAATGTATGCAAGATATAAATAACTACTTTTTTGTAATCAAACTGAAAGTAAAAATGTCAACAAACGGGAGACCAGAATTGATTTTCAATAATGTAGAATCAACCAGTAAATATATGATGCAGTTTGTTCATTTGTTAGTTCACTTTCATATATCATTTTGAAAATTAGAATTACTCTGATTAATTTAAAGAAGGGAAAAGGAAAACAATGAATAGAAAAAAGAGAAACATATGTATACCGTAGCATGAAGGTATATAAAAACTGAAACCAGTTGTATTGGTATCAAATTTAAACCTTATTGAAAAAGTCAATCAGTAATGTATGTATTTTTTATATTGACTTGGATTCAGATATATTTAATTTAAAATAAAATATGGAAAAGAAGTAAAACTTTGATAAATGCATGGTAGAAGTAAATCAAATAGTATTTTGGGAACTTGCATACTCATTGCAAAATTACGCATGGGACGGCAAATACGCACGGATACTCCACACTTATCACTTTCAATATCATATATCCTTAGAAGTCAAACACAAATCCATGAATTTACCTATGTTAAATAATACCTTTGGTATATTTATCAATGGAGAGAATAGTGATTTGAACTCATTCAAATCGTTTGCTACGCATGCTTAGTTTGTTCCGTTATTACCTAGCCAGGATAATTTTCAAATCACCTGCCTCCCCTCCCTTTGTCCTAATGTGTCGTATTATTTGATGGGAAGGAGTGGATATTGACACCTTTGGGATTCATAATAGATTTTGTAGGAGCTTACACATTTATTTGTTATATCGTGATTACCAAGATGAAATAATTACCACCTTGGTAACATTTTCCTTATTCTCCTATAATTTCATTAGGGAATTAACTACTCTACTTTGTTTTGTTTTCCTTCCAAAATACTTGACATCACAAAATGATATAAGCATGGAAAAAAGTTTTCTTCGCCACGCATTTTTTAATTGTCATACCATGATTTCAATTAGTCGGAACGAAGTCTTTAAGGTCTGTCTAAAAATCTTAAATACGTTTCTTTTTGTGTCGTACAAAATAGTGTGAAATCCCTAGATATAACAAGAACGTTAGAGTATTCTACAGATTGATATGTCTTACGCATATTTAAACGTATTCAACTGAGCATTTTGTTGAATTGCAGTATCACTTGCATTTGCGATATACATTTTACATTAAACCTAAGAATACAGTTTCATTTTTTAAGCGGAAGTATATAATAAATGACACCTGTCATACCAGCGCTATTATCAGCTCTTGGGCTGGTATTATGATTATCTATGGATTTCTAATATGTCTAATACTGGTAAATTTTGTTCCGTAACGGATATTAGAAATGTGCTTGTAATGAATAAACAGTACGAAAACAAATAGTTTTATTTATTTAGTAATTTTCAATCATAAATAGTCGTTATTTATAAATTTGACAGAATATGATCATTTAGATAAAAAGAATAATCACAAACCAACCAGTTATATTAGAACATAGAACAAAAGTGTTACAGAAGCATATTTATGGTAATGCATATATAATAATATAAACGGTATTAATTTGACTGCACCAGATGTGAATTTCGACAATTAAGGTCTCTTCAGTGATGCTCGAGGTCAAAATATTTGAATATCCAAAACCTCACACAAACGCTGAAGAGCTGATCAACCAAAATGACCTAAAGTATAGCCGGAACCGGACATTATTCATGTATTAAAACATAAATAATAGGATTATCTTTTTTTCTATTGTAAACTAGTACAAAACTTCAACATTTAAGTGCGAATAAAGTGGTACATATATTCATGACAAATAACAGTAATTGGAAAAGAACATAGCATTACAAACAAATTTTTTAATTTGTTACCGAAAATAGGCAAAACATTTTAAGTTCATAAAAAATCGTATGATGAACTATCAATGACAAATTCGTGTGTTAAGGTATTTGGACTGAACTTGAATAGACGCTGTACTCAGTGATGTATAATACATGCTTGTTATTCATACCATAGATGGATCTTAATGAAAAAAGCATACATTTTTATTGCAATTTCTGAAATAGAAAATGTATTTTCTGTACAAAAACGCTTCTTTATGTGTTCCAAATCACGATTATTATCACCTTTTCGGTAATTCGATATACAAATGGGCGGGAAATATTGTGCCCCTCAGATACATATTTGCTGGGAATCGTAACCTCCTTTTTGATAATTTATAAAAAAAAAATCCCGAAATTAAACGGGAAAACGGAATTTGTGTTATGACAGTCATATTGTCGCCCCCTTGTTAATAAAGAAGTTCAAATCCGGCAACCTTGCTATTATTACTCTTGATATTATATTTTGTTACATGTTACAGAATAATACATATAATTAATGAATTGGTTCATTGATTTGTTTCGTTTGTAACTTTCATAAATTGTGTATGAAAACCATATATTTTATACTTCATAAAGTTCAATTAGCCGAAATAAATTATTACAGTTAAAATAAAACACAGTTTTTATATTCTACATGTTAAACATGTACATCATGCAATTCACAACATACAAAGATAAGACGGATGTTTAAGAAAACAACTCACTTGATCATCTGCTTCCGCTCGCTCGACATAGATGATGGGTCGGTCCTTTCTATTCAATACAATATTTAGTGCTAACAATTCTAAAAAAAAGAAGAAAATTCGACATTTCTTACAAACTCGTTTTAAATCGCTTCGGAGTCGATACACAGAAACAGTCATAAGCACAATCTATCTTTGCATGTGTCGTTCTGCATGTTTTAAGTGGCGTTTGTGAAATTTGCTGGTAGAACGCTCAAGCCCTAATTTTCAACTTGTATTTATCTGAAGTAGAAATTTAAAACAATCACATTTCTTTATAGGAGAATTGCTGAAAGGATGTGATTTGTTCTGATTAGTTGTTGCAGGGTTGGATAAATCCCTTCCTAAATTTTACGGACGCCATCACGAGTTGGTTGACCGTTATAGAATAACCGTTTCACAGATAATATCGGATATGTTCCTTATGTCGTAACTACAATACCCTCCCTTTTCACGAATGTGACTTACCGAATTAAACTATTTACCGGATTTGTAATAACATAAGCAACACGACGGGTGCCACATGTGGAGCAGGATCTGCTTACCCTTCCGGAGCACCTGAGATCACCCCCAGTTTTGGTGGGGTTCGTGTTGCTTAGTCTTTGGTTTTCTATGTTGTGTCATCTGTACTATTATTTGTCTGTTTGTCTTTTTTTTTTTGGCCATGGCGTTGTCAGTTTGTTTTCGATCTATGAGTTTGACTGTCCCTCTGGCATCTTTCGTCCATCTTTTAATGACAAAGAGTAAAAAGGCAGAAAATTATTCTACAAACACGAACAACTATTCGACTGAAGCCGACCATGAAATTACAGTAATGTTAGGTTATATTTATACAACAATGAAACGTCTGATCTTGTTCTGAATCTTGTAAATATTTATTTACGAAGTTAGGAATCGACAATAAAAAAAAACATACCTTCACTAAAAAAAAAATTTCCCTGCCTTAAAATGTCTAAACTCAAGGCCCATTCATTCTGTTCACATACTCTGCAATACTGTTTTCTTTGACCGGTTAACATCACAACTATTGAACCGTCGTTCATATACTGGTTATGCATGCTGACCGTTAAACAACAAGAAAGATTTAAATTTAACCGCGTATTCCTACTATGAAATATACGTCAGCGAACTTAAAAATAGATTGACTACACAATATCTTTAATGGAACTGGACATCATTTATCGTTGATTAACGATATGCATATTTTAGGAGTAGAATAATTGTTACATTGGTACAGCGTAATATTATTCTTTAATATACAGGTATGTTGATTGAAAGGAAATCTTTTGCAAAAGTTATGTACATAAAAACGTATGTATTTACTGTGACTGTGTACTTGATTTTATATAGGACATTGTACACAATTCTATGTTATCAGTGTACACAGACCTGCATCTGATATCTCATGTCTCGTTTTGAATAGGAAAAAAATAGATGCTATTATTAACTTAACGGTCTAAATAAGTTTTTGGGTGTCTTTTGACAGTTGGTGCAATGTGTGTGTTGTGTAAAGATAATGTGCGTAACGAGCCTGTAAACGAGTTTTTTGAAAATCTCTACGGAAAATAACTAAATGCAAATTTACACAAAATGAAAACAAGTGACGATCACAATTTAAGTGAAGCGCGGTTCCAAGCACAACAAGTCACTTGCTGTCTATTCGTGTACTAATATTTTATAATGGAAAAAAAACACACAGCATTCAATTCTTATATTCACACACATGTTAATACATTTTGAGTATATATAAAAGTTCAACTTTAAACACAAAAATTCAGCACAAAATGTCGAGTGAGATAAACGCAGTATCACATGCCACGTGAAATCAATTATAAAGGGGGTCTCATTGAGGGGGGGGGGGGGTCATTTGATCCCGGATCCCGCTTATTGTTGCAATAATAGCGCTTGTTGTAATTTCACGTGTCCCGGCCGACTTCGCTTCCCGTTTTCACGCAAAATATTTTGACTTTCTTTGTCACGCTTGGAGCCGAAATGAGACCCACTATTAGCACGAGGTCCAACAATCAGAAAAAGGCCAATACTTTTAAGTAACCTGATTGGTCTTCTTTATACTTACAAAGATCAACTTCAACTGTTTGTCCTGATCTACAATTTTTTCTAGTTTATAGATTTTTCTTATGAACTGTAAAACATGACAGGCTCATTGAGCAAAAGATCACTTCTGTATGTATACACAGTTCGTTTTTTCAATGATAATGATAATCCCATGATAATCTGTTTATCACTATTTTACCTATGACGACGTTGTCAATTTCATGTCAATTTCATTAGCAACGCCACGTGCCCCTTAGTTTCTAGCGTTAATTTTCATATCACTCGACTCCACTAAGACAGGAAATTATCAGTCAGCAAGATCAAAGGAAAATTTCGTAAAATATCGATAAAACCACTTACTTTAGTGTTTATATTTTAACCTCTCAAATTATTTATTTCAGTGATTTTTAAAAGAGTCTTATTTTCAATTTTTCAATGCCGAATTCACGTAAAGAGGTAATTCTGAAATCTCTTGATTTTTTGGTCAAAAAGGAGTGGGTAAAACCTCGTCCCCTTTTTCTCAATCTCCTGTGCCAGAAGCATATAATTTCCCCCAAATTTGTATGACTAGGGAATGGTATTCAAGTGAAAGAGACACGGGATTTCCGTCAAATGGTCAATGATCACCAACAAATTTTCGATCTAAATGCTCTTTAACTTCGTAGTTAATTTGGCCTTTCGACTGTTGGGATTCGAGCATCGCTGATGAGTCTATTGTAGACGAAACGCACATGTGGTGTGCCAAATTTAAAGCCTGGTACCTTTGATGAGTTTTTTGTCAACCACTGAGTCAATGCCACTTCCATGTGGTCGTTTCGTTTCCATGTTATCATCAGCACAGTAGTCAGGTTTTTTGTGTTGACATGAAATATCATTGATATGTTTATTTTCTATAAATTTGGAAATATTTGAAAACCATTTGAAATCTTAGTTGATTTTGAAAAATTTATTTCTGTATCAGATATATATGAGACATGTGTATGTTACTACATTTGTACATGAACAAATAACGTAATATATTTAAAATTTAAGCATAAAAGCTATTATATTAAAAATGGCATGCTACTCGGTTGTTTATATCGTAGGAACGTAACGTGAACAACATTAACATTGTTTTGCCTCTCTCTTTCAACCTTTACTATGATACTGAAATAAATATTATGTAACATGAACTTGTTTATCGTTGTGTTTTCTCGGCTAACATACTCACAAATTGAATAACAAAGTCAGAAGAATTTTATGTCAATTTGAGAATGAATAAAAACGCTGTTCCTAAGCTCTCATCGTGTATTTTAATTTGAAATCCGCGGAGGGATCAGAATCCTGAGGATCAATTACACGATACCACAACAAGGTTGAAAAACTGGATCCGATTCACACTGAGCATAATCCTCTTCGGAATTGCCCTCAACAAAGAGTACTTGCTCCTCAGGATTCGGACCCCTCCGCAGATTTCAGATCGGAATACCCGGTGTGTATCTGTTTGGGTTTTCCATGTACATGTAATAAAACAGAGGCAAAAGATACCAAAAGGGCATTCAAACTCAGAAGTAGAAAATAAACTGACAACACCATGGCTAAACAAGGAAAAGTCCAACAGACAACAGACAAACAGTAGTAAGGGACATTCAAACTCATAAGTCGAAAATAAACTGACAACACCATGGCTAAAAAAGGAAAAGACCAACAGACAACAGACAAACAGTAGTTTGGGACATTCAAACTCATAAGTCGAAAATAAACTGACAACACCATGGCTAAAAAAGTAAAAGATCAACAGACAACAGACAAACAATAGTAAACAAAACACAACATAGAACACTAAAAACCGAACACCACGAACCCTACCAATAACTGGGGGTGATCTCAGGTGCTCCGGAAGGGTAAGCTGATCCTACTCCATATGTGGCACCCGTAAGTAGTAAGTTTGTTAGCCATATCGTTTCTTTTTCATTATATTAGTATTTCACGATGTGCATAAATATCATTTTGTATAATATTTGCAATATTCAATATATATTTGTTTTAGGGAAATGGCGACTAATTGGACTATATGTGGCACATGTGATTTTCGCCATATAACTAAACCGTCAGTATTTTGGTGTTCCGAATGTGATGAAGGCTTATGTCAGGAGTGTACTGAACATCACATTATCTCCAAGGCAACTAGGGGGCATAATACAATTTCTATCGATGAATACAAGAAACTACCATCGACAATTCTAGAAATAACACAAACATGCAAACACCACAATGAAAAGTTTCAAATATACTGTAATAAACATGATTGTCCATGCTGTAAAAAGTGCATTGTGGTGATCCACAACGAGTGCAAAGAACTTATTGATATTGAAGATATCATAAAGGATGTAAAATCTTCAAATGCGTTCGTGGATATCGAACACACATTGGCAGAAATGTCTGAAAATATTAAAAGAATTCGAAAAGACCGTGAACAAAATATGACCGAAATTAAGGAAACAAGAGAAAAAGTCGAGTCTGAAATCAAAATGACAAAATTAAAGATTGTAAGCTATCTTGACAAACTACAAGAAGATATTTTGGAAGAACTTGGCGAAACAGAGATATCGGAGAGCAAACGAATACAGAAATTGTTAACATCAGTACAACAAATGGAAAAGAACGTCACTGAATACCAACATAACATAGCGAACATAAAACAACATGCATCAGACCTTCAGGCATTCTTGGTCCTCAAACGAATAGAACATGACGTAGAAGAAAAGGATAAATTCATTCAAACATTAATGAAGAACAAGCACTTGAATCATGCTACTCTGTCTTGGAAGATAAGCTCTGACCTTCAGAATTTTCAAACCAGTTTAGCAACATTCGGCAATATTGTTGTCGAGTCCAAATCTAGTGGAATAACTATTGCAAGGAGAAAAGACAAACAAGCTCAGATCATGGTTATGGCAACATCGCCTATATCTTTAGACAAAATAGAACTTAAATTAAAGGCAACTGTTTTTACGAGAGGCAATCCCATAACTGGATGTTCTCTGTTTTTAGATGGTAAAATGATTTTTTCGAGTTATGAAGATAAGAAGGTTTATGTTTTCAGAAATTACAAATGAAAACCGTTCAAGATTACATTCGAATTTCAAAAATTTGAGGTAGAACAGATCGACGGAAGTTTATTTGGTATCACCACTGGCTATGAAGGTGGTAGAATCATACTTAGGGACCTATTAGAGAGGAATACTAAGAAAATCATAGACATTGATGTATCAAATGATGGAATAGCTGTGAGTGGTGATTGGCTGTATTTTAGTGCAAGGAAGAACGGATTGATGCGTGGAAATATAATTGATGGATCGATTTGGAAAGTAGTTAGGGAGCCAATGTCTGGATGTGCCTATAAAACTGTATTTGGCAAGAATCTTTACTTCACAAACAAATCGAGGAACACCGTGACGTGCAGCAATCTGGAGGGACACCTCAAGTGGATATTTAAAGATGAAAGTATTTTGTCTTTTTCGCTGGGTATCTCAGTGGATGAATATGACAACATTTATGTAGTCGGAAACGAAAGTTCAAATGTTGTTGTTATCTCTCCAGATGGAAAACAAAGCAAAGTTATATTATCTTCTGCAGATGGACTTGATTGCCCTCAAGTTTTACATTAAAACCGAGAAAATAACCAGCTGCTAGTTACAAACCAAAGTGAACATGCGTTTGTCTTCGATGTACCATTCAAGTGAACTATCATACTTCACATGCGTTTCGTATCTTAGTGAAATTGTTTTTGTGCGATAATTTATCTGTTGCCTTCTGTGCTTTTATCAATTTTGAATTTCTAATTCAATGATTATAAAACTTTGTCAATTTTAATACATTTTGATTTGATTTGGTTTTAATTGTATTAATTGTTTTACACATTTCCATGAATAGTTTAATTTTTTTGCCAGTGTGAAATTGATTGCTGTATAGTATACACAACATGAATTATAAACATTATTGGTCCAAGTTATATGAATAAGACATTATTAACAAAATAAAAAAATCAAAAATCAAAACCAATGAACTACTGTAGATACTGCGAGCAAACCTCACACAATAATAATTTTGCCCTTGTAATGTCCATGACATCAAAGGGAAACCCAAGAAAGTTATAATCAGACCAAAAACCAAATCGAAGGTGCAGAATGGCATTATATGGTACAGATTCTGAGAGTGTCGTTACATTGTGATTAGGTGTTCAGGATGAGAAGCGAATTGAAATGTGTACTAAAAAGCGCGGAGTCCATTTCATTCAAAAGTATACCCCAAAAACATTCAAATGGAGAAATGAATTATGAGTTTCTGCGATACGTCATAAGAGTAAGTTCTTTGTATATGTTTTTAGTTTTACCAAATTCAAAAAAGCGGTTCCGGAGCAGTTGTGGATATTGAAAAGTGGGACAGACGGACGAACGAATGAATGGTTATATCGGATTTTCTAAATAGCATGAATTATTTACCTAGATCTATTTAGCGGCTAAGCTATGTATAAGTTCAGCAGTCAAAATATACGTAACCCTACGTAAAGCAAACTCCCCGGCAGTTTGAGTTCAGATCTGCATTCAATTCTACACTAATTGGAGTAAAGGAAAATAGTTCCGGAACGGAAACGATCACTGTATTGAGTTTTATATGTAAGAAGTATTTTCGGTTGGCACAAAGCAAATAACCGCTGTGTATCGGATTTTACTGTGCATTTCATCTGTATATCTGCAGTGACAATACTACATGTTAGAAAAAATGGATTTTCAGGCAGTGTGTATCTGGAATAACAAAATCTAACAAAAAAAAAATAACTTTTAAGTATACTTGTATATACATTTTCTCTACCTATCCTATTTTCTTTTTGGTCTAAAAGTGACTTCCCTAAAGTTTTCATCTACACTTTTCGTATTGGTCACAAAATTTCATATATTCACATAAGCTCAATATAAAAAAGTAAACCTACCTACCTACCATACTTTTTCAGGAATTCGATACCGACGGGGTTAATCTAATGATGATGCTGATGATAGATAGCTAATAAAACGCATAATTAGGACGAGAACAAGACATGTCACACTAAGCGGACAAATTATTCTGACTCTGTACCGACAATTCTTTGCTCGTACTCCATAATGTCGCGGAGACCAAAGAGTCGTCGGTTTGATCGGGTCAAAGATCAAAACTACAATCGTTCAAACTCAAGGCAAACACATAGAAGTGGTCAGAGGAGTAAAAAGTAAAACACATACAACATTTTGGAGCAATAAAACCTAAAAGGCATAAATTCACGTATTAATAGATTGAATCATTGTTGGGAATTAGGAACCCCTTAGAACTTATGAGAACAAAATTGCTGAAATATAGTTCACAAATAGCTTTATAGTAAGATAAAACACAGTATGATATCATACATTATATAGTACACAATGTAGTTAGTAATGTTAGACATTCTTGTTTTAAAACTATTATTTCACTATTTTTATACGGAAGTTCACATAAAGCAATATGTAGCTATACCAATATACACATTCTGTTACAGATGGTTATTTTTTATTTGGCATTAATAGGGCTTAGTTTATTTCGGAAGTAAATCAGTTTACTTCCTAATTAAAGAGCCATATCGATTACAAACAAGAAAACAAAATAATATATTTAATGCATTACACATTATTTTATTATTCATCTAGAGATAACAGAAGTGAGAGAAGAGCCATGTGGATGAAATAAACTTGTCTTTGTAAAATGTTAGACATCCTGTGTGCCAATTTAATAAAAAAAACATGTTTCATATTTACAGAGCATAGTACAATATTAGCCATTTTTAGAAACATTAGCAAGTTCAATAGTCCACAAAGCTTTGACCTTAATTTCTATGCAAGAATTACACTTTTTCTATAAGTATAGAACCACTAATTCAGGCCCGGTCGGAAAGAACATACAAGAAAGTAGTACATGTTTTAAACAAAATAGTTCCTTCGCGTAGCTGTATCTCTGTCAATAGGTGAAATATTGGGGTAGTTTTGGTATCAAATGAAAGCTTGGGGACTTGGAATCACTGTAGAATCCTTGTTGAAAGTTCCTTTTGAATAATAAAGAAGTATATAAAATTTTAATAGGAGGTCATATTTGCCCTGTTGTTCAGATCAGAAGAACCGAGTCAGGATAAGGTATAGTTTTGACATGAAATAACTGCCACTTTATTTGAACTTAAGACAAAGTAGCCATTAATGTTTGAAATTGCAGAATTTAACATGGGGCTATGCATTAGTGGTTTTATACCTATACTGAAAATAAAAGTTATATAATTATGTAGGATAATTCACGAAGACCTTCTGTTGCACAAAAGTATCACAATAACGAAAATAAACTTTGGTCGATTATAATGAATCTAAATAAATATTGTTATTTAATTCGCTGTTAGGACAACATAATCAAAGACGAATTCACTGATCTTTAAAACACAATCTTATTCATAGTCATTGTTCTGTTTGTCAATAAATAATGATTTAAGTCATGCATCCAGCTTGAGAAATAAACGTTTGGCTCTATTATTTCAAAATTTGAATATAAGACATTAATGTGCATTTTAAATGTGAAAAATACAAATACACAACGAATTCAACTATATTCATTAATATCGCACTTCCAATACAAAAGACGTCTAAAGGGGAACAACCTAAAATGAATGTCTTTCACATTAAGTAAAAATACTTCTCGTATTTTATAAACGCATATTTGTTGTTGAGATCGATCATTATATATATATTAACAGAAGTTAGTAGAATTTTCGAAATATCTCCTGTGCTTTCCCTTAAAATGAATCAATTAAACTAATTAATTTTCGACTGCATACGCTCGTAATGTTTGATATTACTTTCATCAAATGTAGGATAAATAAAAAGACTAAACACGCGATGAAATTATTTTTGTAAACTCTATCGTTGCCTCATTTTCCTCAATTAATTGATTAAAACAACAATACCGTATAAAGTATGTTCGTTGTAGCTGAAAACAAGCCAAACACTTTAGCCCGCTGATATCGAAATCGTGCATTCGTACACTTCAATACCTTCGCTTTATTTCTAAGTATATTTCGTATTACTTCATTGATTATTTTTTGAAATGTCCAAAGTAAGTTTGTACACATACTTAGGATTCTGTAAATAAGTTCCATATTGTTGTTGTTTTAACTGTGAATATTCGAAGCCATATTACTGCCCTTCCTACCCCCAAAATCAAATATCATCAGATCCTATTCATGCCATTTACACCTTTTACACTTGCAGTATTCAATTCGGAATCGTTGAAAGTAATCAAAGCGTTTTAACTGAAGTTATAATGTAAATATAAAACAATGAACTGAAACGGTGTTTTGATTTATGACACTATGCCTTTAACAAAAACGTACATAAAAGAATAGTGCTTGGAATCAAAGCATGTATTATTTCTGATATAACATGTATAATGTACATTCCAAATATTTTGCGATTCGATACGTCTGCCATGCTAAATATAAAAATAAAACTATGTTATATATATGCATAATTTATTTTTCGTTCATAATTTGTAAAAATTAAGCCGTTAGTGTTGTCGTTTGAATTGTTTTACATTTGTCATTTAGGGACCTTGTTAATTTCTGTATCATGTTGTCTCTTGTGGAGAGTTGTCTCATTTGCAATCCAATCATACCACATCTTATTTTTTTATAATGAAAGATGCATATTTGATTTCCATCGGCAATGCAAATATGGTCATTTAAAAATCCAATAGTAGGTGGTTTGTCAAAAAAATTGAGAATGGAAACGGGAAATGTGTCAAATAGACTACAACCCGACCAATGAGCAAAAAACAGCCCAAGGCCACCAATGGGTCTTCAACACAGCGAGAAAATCCAGCACCCGGAGGCGGGCTCCAGCTGGCTCCTAAACAAAAATGTGTACTATTTTAGGGAAAATTGACGTCACACTAAACTCCAAAACATATAAATGAACCAAAATTAACAAAATATACAAGACTAACAAAGGACAGAGGCTCCCGACTTTAAACAGGCGCATAAACGCGGCGGGGTTAATCATGTTTTGTGAGATCTCAAACCTCTTCCTATACATCTACCCAATGTAGAATAAACAAACACACAGAAATACGTACAATAAAACTCAGTTTAAAGGAAGTCCGAGTCCGATGTCGGAATAGGTAACAGAAAAAAATAAGCGAAATGACAATGATACATAAATTAACAAAGGACTACTAGCATTTACTGACATGCCAGCTCCAGGCATCAATTTAACTGATTGAAAGTTTATGTCTCTATCATATGTAAATCAAGCAAAATCCTTCCCGTTAGAGGTTTAGTATCATACCATCATTAAACATGTTAAATATGTGAGGGGAAAATAAACCGTGTCATGCCAACAACTGTTTTTAGAATAAATGTGTTTATTTCCAAATCAAAAACCATAGGAGTGAATCAAAATCAAGTCCTAAAAATGCCATCTTTAATGACCTGACTACAGTATCGTTACTATATCCCTCCTGAATAAGTCTATTTAAAAACATTATTGAATCAAACATTGTTTTCTTGTACTTCAAGTCTTCGTCAAATATATTATTATACGCTATGGTGACACAAGTCTGATACACCTATATTATCAGTTTATCGTCTGATATGATTTGTAACAAACCTTTCTAAAATTGTCCGTTTATAAATTTTGAAATTATAATCTAAGGTTTCTGCTTTTAAAACTCTGTTTGTGTATTTAATTGTTAATATATAATTCTGTTCACCGCTTAAAAAGAAACTTTTTTGTATATATATATATATTTGTATAAAAAAAATTAAAGTTAAAAATGCTCTTAAAGTCCTTTAATTCACTACATTTTTCTCCCACCGGTTTCAC